TCTCTCTCTCTCTCTCTCTCTCTCTCTCTCTCTCTAAAAACCAGATTTAAACTAAAATGTATCATGTTAGTGATTGAGTTATTTGATTAAGCCCGCATACATTAATTTTCATGTTACATAAATTAATTATTATAAACTTTGTAAACATTAATTAATTAAATAAAACAACAACAAAAAATAAACTACAAAACTAACAAACTAATAAATCGCCCATGAGCATCGATAAGTTGTCATCGTTGAGGGCCGACACACTATCCAACTTGTGTGCCAAGGCGGCTTGTTTGGCCTCGATCAGCGCGTCGGCATAATGCTCGCACACACCCGGCCGGTGAACGGCCAGCGCACGGGTGTAGTGACCCTTTAGACTGGTCTTCATCTCGACAATCATACCGTACGCTTCGTCCTGTAGTCGCCGGTAGGGTGGGTACAATTTTAGCGCCGGCACTTTATCAATCGCGTAAAGTATGTTTGTTTTGTTATTTAACGTGTCCAGCGTATTGTGGTATAGTCTTAGCTCCGGGTCATTCCACTCGTATCTAAATTTATGTTTTTTAGTTTAATTAATTAATATTTGAACATTACATTTTAAAATATTAATTTATACTCGGTGATTATGATGAGTTTTTAATATAATTCAATGTAAATATTGATTTAATAAATTACCTTTTATTAAACGATGTCGATGTAATTATATTGGACACAGTTGCGGCTAGGTATTTTGTTGGATTAAACGCCGTACCCACCGGGTTCTCATCATCCATATCCCTTACCATGTTGGCAACAATATCGTTTGTCACGTGACCAAACTTATCGCTATACGCTAGTTTTCTATGTAATATTTAAAATGTATTTATTTTTAAATTTTTTATTTTTTAATATTATTAACTCATCAATGAATTAAACATAGGTATAGAAAGTTAATATGGGTTAATGTTACAAAATTATATGATAGTCAACACTTGTTAAAAATATTATTGTTATTTTTAAAAACAAACAAACAATGTATATAGATGTTTGTACATACCTGAGCGCCGTATGCGCTACCCGTCTCAGGTGCGCCCAATCCTCGCTGTAATCGCTGAAACCAACGTTTGTACACTTATCTACATAGAGTTTAATAGCGCCCATATCTGGCCGACCCATCAGCTCGTTGTGCCTGGAGTTGAACGCCGTTTTAAGCAGCGCCAGGTCGCCGATCACCACCACCGGCTGCCAGCCCAGCCATATTGTGTATACCGGGCCATATGTTTTGTGCAATTCAGTTAGGACAATAATTGAGTGCACTTTTGAATTTCTAAATACTTGATTATTTTAATTTATACAAAATGAATAATATAAATTATAAATGTTTACTGTGAAATATAAAGTTTATGTTATATAACATCTTACGCAATGCATTGCCCAGCACTGGTAAGGGGAATGGACCCCTCGGCATGGAATATACTTTTGTATAAAACTTTATTAAATACCATGTTATTACAATGATAGCTCCTGTAATGTACCAGGTCATATAGCTATTGTAGTTTAAATTGTACATTATAACAAAAACGTTTTTTATTGATTGGTAGTAACATAAAATTTAAACAACTTTACAGTATTTCAAAACAAACGTTGTTAATTTTTATAGATTCTTTTAATCATAGTATGGTATAAATTAAAATAAAATTTTGAAGGTGAAAGAGAGAGAGAGAGACTAAATAAAAAATGATCTTATGATTATAGCTTTAAATGTAGTCCTCTATCTTTATAGTTTATCATTTATACTTATCCATATAAAAAAAACATTTAAATGATATTCACCCTTTTATTATTTTTGCGAAAATAATAATTTTTGGAAATATTTTAAGCAAATAAAGTATGCATTAATTTAGTTAAGGTCAGCAATGTACGATTGAAGTTTTCATCATTAATGAATAAGATAAAAACAACTCTCTCTCTCTCTCTCTCTCTCTCTCTCTCTCTCTCGCCCTTCAAAGTTTATTTGCTGCTAGAATTCTAAATAGTAATCATAGAGTTATTTATCATAAAGCTTACGACAATAATTAGAGTAAATTACTATATTAAATTATTTTTATATTAAATAACTTTCCAACTACCTTAAAACATGATAAAAGTAATTTGTTGTTCTAACGAGACCAGAAAATTACTTGTAATAATATAATTTAACTATATAAAGATTATAATAGCACACATGTTATTTATTAATACTAATTAGAAATATGTAATCTACAATTGCATTTATTATTTTACCAGACTTAGATAAAGTTAATAACCTTTATAACATTATTTTGAAATAAAATAATTATACAACATTTAATCAATTTATAATAAAAACATTATATAAAGTAAAAATTAACTTTGATTTGTATTTTAATATTGTATCCATTGCAATTTTTATTTAATTATTCATTTACTAATCAACCACATGTAAATGCACACCAAATGTACATCAGGTTACTTGCGGTATCATTTGTGGTTATTATATCTAATATCAATCAATTTATTATCTGCCGTAAGAATAGAGTACTTAAGTTATTGTACATAATTTATATTAGCTTGTTACATGTTATGTTGCATATAGAAATAAACCCTGTGGTAAATTTGGATAACTATACATTCGTCGGTGTTGTGTCTCAAATTTCTACCGCCAGTCTTAATAATGGCAATAATGCAACTGTTCCTATATATAGCTTTAAGGTAATTTATATATTTCATTTATTATAAGTTTTAATATTTATAACAATAAGTTGGAAGAAAATACTCCTGATCTATTTACAAATCCTATTAATATTAAAATATACAATATACGGTAGTTCATAGATCTCATTATATTATCAGATAACATTGCTAGAGACCAGTAGCTAAGTTTTGCAAACATTGACTTGATACAGGACATTTTAAATCAGTTAAATTAAGTTTACATAAATATTGCTTCTTACAAATTATATAAATTCAAAATAATCATTATGATAAAAATATAATAAAAATTGTTGTTATTAATTACAAATAATTATTAATCTAGAGCATACCGTTCGCACTGCCACCCATAGGTCCTCTGCGATTCCTGCCCACTGTACCCATAAGTTACGGTCAGAATCGTACGGTAATGGCCACACAGTTTGCCAGCACCTGCCCCAACCCGTTTAACCCGTTCAACATCACCGAGGATTGTCTGTATCTAAACGTATGGACACCTACGTTAAACCCTGGTGCAAATTTGAGCGTGATGTTTTGGATTTACGGCGGTGGNTTGCCAGCACCTGCCCCAACCCGTTTAACCCGTTCAACATCACCGAGGATTGTCTGTATCTAAACGTATGGACACCTACGTTAAACCCTGGTGCAAATTTGAGCGTGATGTTTTGGATTTACGGCGGTGGGTTCACCTGGTGGGGCACCAATATGTTTGATGGGCAACAGTTGGCCATCAGGCAAGTAGTGGTGGTTACGGTTGCCTATAGGTTGGGCGCGCTCGGGTGGCTGTGCACAGATAGGGCCGACGCGCCCGGCAATATGGGTTTATACGACCAGTTCACCGCGCTACAATGGACAAAAAAGTATATTGCTCAGTTTGGCGGCAATCCAAATGATATAACAGTGTTTGGCCAAAGTTCGGGTAGTATGTCCGCCAGCGCCCACATACTATCCAATATGAGTAATGGTTATTTTAACAAGGCCATCTTACAGTCCGGTGAGTAGGCTTGCCAACTCATTTTGACCATTTCCTTGATATTTTTGAAATTTTTGAAATTTCACCTTGACATTTCCTTGACAACTATTTTTATAGCATATTTCACTAGGCTTATTTTTATTGTTAATTAAT